TGAACTTTCCTGGACCCAATACCAAGCCACTGTGGCATATGCTGGACTTAATCAGTCACAAATGAAAAGCACAAATTAACAAATGCCTTTCATAATATTGAAAATACTTCAATCTGTTTTGTACTGTTAGGGTTCTAAGTATGAAACACTTCTATGGTTGTTATATTTTCTCTTTAAGTGTATTTTTTGTGTGTGTGAGGGTGGAAAGAACCAGTTTGGTTTAGTGGTTAAGGCATCAGGCTAGAAACCAGAAGATTCGGAGTTCTAGTCCCAGCTTAGGCATGCAAAATTGGCTGGGTGCCCTTGGGCCAGTCCTTGAGTGTCAGTTCTGTGAAAAAGGCAAGGGCAAATCATTTCTAAAAACCTTGCCAAGAAAACTTGTGTTGACCTGGGAAAAGGCACGAAGGCCACACAGCCAGCTGGGAATTCAAACTCCCCTTTAATGCTCCCAACTTTACCCCAAATGCTCCCACGTTATGCAAGTCTGGGAGCAAAGCACACACACACACACACACACACAGCCGCCCCTGGCTGCGAGTAGTCCAGCAAAATGCTGTTAGCACAACGGCTTCAAAGCAAGAAGTCCAGTGAGGCAAAGGAACAAGGGAACGAATCCACAAAACAAGGCAGAGGCAATAAATTCACGAAGCAAGGAAGAAGGTAAACAGTCCTGCAAACTCCAGACGGCGGCAACAGCACACAAAACTCCACAAATTCAGCATTTATTCCCGAGAAATGCCCCTCCCCACAGCATCTCCTTAAGTCTCAGTCCCTAGGTGTGCATTGTGAAGAGGGGCGGGGCGCTCTACTCCCGAGTTGTCGGATTGGCCTATGCTGTTCCCTCCTCCTCTCTGTGCTTGCGAATCAGGAGGGAGCTCTCCTTGCTCATCGCTGAGCTCTGTCGCTCCTCATTTTCACTGCCCGCCCTTTCTCGGTTGTCCTGTCCCTGTTCCCCCTGTTGGCAAGCCATCCCAAGCCAGAGGGGCCCGGGGCTGCCTCCTCCTGCTCCTCCCCACCTTCCTCCAAAGCCAACGAGACCACCCTCTCGTCCTCCATTGGCCCCAGTCCTGCTCGTCCTCCGCAGATGCAGACTCCATGGGGGGCATGACAACTTTAGAAACTAGTCTAGACCAGTGGTCACCAACTGGTGGTCCGCGGACCAACTGGTGGTCCGTGAGAAAATTTTGGTGGTCCGCAGAAAAATTATTTGCATTTTTTATATTGCACTAAATCGGGGTCCTCAAACGACGCCCCCGGGCTAGATATGTGCAATGAATGTTTGCGTTGCTCCCCCTTCGGCGTCTTTTTGTGTGGGTCGAAGGGGGGCAGAAATTCTGACTTGGGGTCGGCTTCAGCCTCCTGGTGCTGGGCTTTGGGCGAAGGCTGGAGGGAAGGACCACTGGTGGAGAAGAGCAGGAGGGCCTCGTTCCAGTGGGACTGCATCATGGCCTGGAACTGGCTGACCATCTCAGCTCGCTGAGCCTCCAGGTGCCGGTGCCTGGCCTTGCACTCCCACAGGTCTTCCCTCTGCTTGGAAAGCCTAGGCTCCTTATCCTCAGTGAGGTGCTTCTGCTGAGCCTCCTTCTCGGTCAGATCCAATTTGAACTGAGCCGCTGTTTTGCAAACTCTCGTGGTGGCTGCTCCAACAACCGCTTCCTGTTGGGGCCCTAAGGAGCCAAGGTGGGTGAGTGAGGAATGACTGAGAGGGGAAGGCCGAATAGAGGCTGGAGAGGTGTCCCTCGACGTGAGTGACATTGAGTTGGCCACACCCACCCAGTCACATGACCACCTAGCCACATCCACCCAGCCAATCATTAGGCAGATCATATTAGTGGTCCACGGGATTTAAAATTATGAATTTAATGGTCCCTGATATCCAAAAGGTTGGTGACCCCTGGTCTAGACACCATTGTTGGCCATAGTCCACAGTGTCTTGAAGACAAAATAACTCAGTAACTCTATACTTGTCATGCCCCTGTCAGAGTCTGAATCTGAGGAGGAAGCCGGACAGCTGAAAGGGAATGGGAGTGTGGCTCCGTGGGCTGTGGAGGAGGCTGGGGAAGGGCAAAGTCCGGCTGGGCAGGGCAGGGGAGAAGTAGAACAAGGGAGAAGGAGTTCAGAGGAAGACCCAGGCCCATCCCCTCTTCATCCTAGGGCACGCAGGGAGGAACGGAGAAGAGAGCAACATGGGTTGCGTGGCTTACGGGGGAGGAAAGGGCCCTGATTCCCTTCATTCGCCACAGCTGGGAAGACATGATAAGAAAGGCAGGCTGCGTTCGGCAGGCTGCTGGAGCAAACATGACTTTATCCTGTGTTGTCGTGGCTTATCTGTGTTACTGGTGTCTTCCCAACCATGTGAGTTTTGCCATGCCTTCAAGTCTGAAATTCTTGTTCCTGCTCTGCCAAACTAATTACCTCAGTTTGGCTTGTTTGGACTTTAAGTTACAGTTTGTGTTGCTCATGTTTTGGACTTAATTTTCTGCAATCAAAGGCTGTCCCTGGGAGAGTTTTTCTCCAGTCAGAAGGTAATCTGGACATTGCGGGCAAAGTTGGAGATAATAAAAAGACTCTTTTTCCTTATCTGACTGTATTGTTTTTGTGCCATGCCCAGGGTCATCCCAATGCTCGTACTTCCATGTTGGAAGTACCAAAGTGCTTCCGTAGTGAAAGGATTTGCTGGTGACATCACTGTTGCCCAGGGGATGCCCAGTTGGGGGGGCTCCTTTTGCATCTCCATGAAGGTGCCCATTGAAGCTGTATCATTTATCTCCTCATACTTGCCTGCTTTCAAACAGAAGATTTGGCAGGAGCTGGAGCTCACTCTACTCAGTGGCAGCAGCGAGTCTTGAACACTAATCACCAGCCCAGCTTTCAAAGCTCCTGAGCCACTGCATTCCTAATAATCCTATCAGGGCATGACTCACCGGCAATGGCTTATTATCTGCATGACTCACTGGCAGTGGCTCTGGATATTTTAGTTTAGAGGTCTTTTCAGCAGTCCTAGAAACACCCAAAATTAGGGTGGGGGGAGAGAATCCTATACACTCTCCTCTCCCTGGTCAGCTGTGCATGAAACTTCGTGGCTGTTCAAAAGCAATGGGAAACAGTAACAAAGGTAGAATGTAAGACGACAGGATAAGAAATAATGGGTAGAAGCTCAGGAAAGAGAGTTCCGACCTAGGAGTAAAGAGAAATTTTCTGACAGAACAATTAATTGGAACCCCTTGCCTCTCAGAGTTTTGGGTGCCCCATCTCTGGAATCCCAAAGACGCTTTTTCCAAATGGCAACTGGACTTTCTCGGGTTGTTGGTTTTTTTTTTCTTGGAAAACTTGAGACGACCAATCTCAATCCTCTGTCAACTGGAGGTTTTTAAAAATAAACTGACAAACCAGAAGGCAAGACTAGGAACAACGGATGGAAACTAATCAAGGAGAGAAGCAACTTGGAATTAAGGGGAAACTTTCTAACAGCGAGTACAGCTGGCCTTTGGAAGTTGTGGGTGCCCCATCAGTGGAGTCGTTTCAGAAGAGACGGGGCAGCCACTTGTCAGAAATGGTATAGGGTCTCCTGCTTGAGCAAGAGGTTGGACTAGAACAGTGATGGCAGACCTTTTTGTTGTGGTGTGCTGAAAGCAAGCGCGCGCACGATAGCGCGCACATGTGCACATGTTGGAACCCACAATGCAATGTGCCCCCTGCTGCGCATGCAAGTGCAATACCCCCGCCCGCCCCCATTTGTGCAGGCCTGCGAGCCCCAGCCAAACTTATCTGCACTGCGCATGCGAGCGCTTCCCACCTGATTTTCGCCCCGTTTGAGGCTGTTTTTGCCCTCCTGGAGGCTTGAGGGGAAGCCTCTGCAGCCTTGGGAGGCCGAAAAAGGAGCCTTCTGGGAATACCGGAAGTGCCCGTTTTCAGCCTCTGGAGCCCGGGGGAGGTCGTTTTTGCCCTCCCGGGGTCTCGAGGGAAGCCTCTGCAGCCTCGGGAGGCCGAAAAATGGGCCCATTTCAGCACTTCCGATATTTCCAGAAGGTCCGTTTTTTTGGCCTCCCGAGGCTGCAGAGGCTTCCCTCGAGCCTCTGGGAGGCCAAAAACAGCCTCAAACAGGCTGAAAATCAGCTGGGAGGTGTGCACATGCGCAGTGCAGATAATTTTGGCTGGGGCTCGCATGCCATAGGTTCGTCATCATGGGACTAGAAGATCTCTAAGTTCCCTTCCAGCCTATGATTCTCTGTTCTATGATTATTGAATGGTGTAAAATGATTGGTTATGTGCCATCAAGTCAGGGTTGATTTCTTAGTGGCCACATCAATTTTTCTTCAGGGGATCCATCCGCAACCAGGTCCCTCAAGATCCTCCCAACAGGGCACCCATTGCTACTGCGCTTGACTCTATCCACCTGCTGCTGGGTTATCTTCTTTCCCCTCCCAACTTTCAGGGTTTTCTTATTTGTAAATACATAACGAAGAGAACATAAGGAAGAGAACAAGGGACGCGGTGGCTCAGTGGCTAAGACACTGAGCTTGTCAATCAGAAAGGTCGGCATTTCGGCGGTTCAAATCCCTAAGCGCCGCATAACGGAGTGAGCTCCCGTTACTTGTCCCAGCTTCTGCCAACCTAGCAGTTCGAAAGCATGTAAAAAATGTAGAAAAAGTGGGAAGGTAACACTGTTCCATGTGCCTTCAGTCTTTACTCACGCCAGCCACATGACCATGGAGAAGTCTTTGGACAGCGCTGGCTCTTCAGCTTTGTAACGGAGATGAGCACCACCCCCTAGAGCTGGAAACAACTAGCATGTATGTGTGAGGGGAACTTTTACCTTTAAAGGAAGAAAATCTGTAGATTAGTGCAATGAGAATTGGGGGAATTTTTTTTGTCAAGGACTTCTTTGAGCCAGGCTCACAGCAAACATTATAGCCAATATTTGCATGTAACATCTAAAAAGACGGCTAGTAAATATGTACTCATTGGTGTTGATTAATACTTTATGTCTTCATTCTTTGCAGAGATATTACATACAGCATTTCGCTGGAAGCTGTGACAACACTGGTCGTTTTTCTCTCCTGTCAGCTTTTCCACAAGGAAATTCTGCGGAAGAGCATCATTCATAAGTATCTCATGCATGGTCGATGGTAGGTCAGACTGCAGTGCTATTTTATAACTAGGTAGCTTTTATTCCCGAGTTTTAACGAGCATAGCAACTGTATTTACTCTGTCAAAGCAAATATTTTCTATTTAGCTGTAGGTTAACTTGCGCTCCTGAAAGATCTCCCAAGCTGATAACAGATTGACTCTCTGGGCGATAAGAATTATTTGTTATCTCACTTAAACAACAGGTTGTTAAATAAATATGGTGAGATGAAACTATTGTATGCGGTTCCACTTCATAATTTTAGGATATGGAGTGAATTAGAGTGGTTCTACATTTTTACAGCAAATTTTTAAAAAAACACTTCATAGCAGGAGTTAGAAACCCATTGTTTCTAGATGTTTTAGACATTAGCTTCATCAGCCTTGAATCAGCATGGCCAGTGGCACGAGATTATGGGAACTATATTTCAAATATTTAGAATGCACGAAGTTGTGTAAGCCTAAAGCTTTGGTTTGCAGTGCAGTATTTAATGTTTTTTGTTTCGGTGAATCTCTAAAGAGTGGGCATTAGAAGTTTTTGAATTTCCTTGAACCAGGTTAAGAGCAGGCTGTCTGAGATCTGCAATTTTTTTCTGCCTTCATTACTCTGTGCCTGTGAGTATTTTGGACCATAAAAATAGTTTGCAAACTACTTTTATTTTCTGAATATATAAATGGTAAGTCATATATGAATGAGTTCTGAATATATAAATAGGTCAAGGGAAACTTGTATTTATTTTCAGAGTGTGAAGACTGGCACCTCTTTTTTTAGAACCTCTGTTAACACATTTAAAATATATTAGCCTTTTTAAAATTCAGAAGAATTAAGAGAGTCTATTAGGTATCAAATTAGAGCACTGTTTCTCAAGCTTGATGAGTTTAAAATGTGTGGACTTCAACTCCCAGAATTCCCCAGGCAGCATGGCTGGCTGGGGAATTCTGGGGGTGTTGAAATCTATACATTTTAAAGTCACCAAGTTCGAGAAACACTGGATTAGGGATTTTAACATGAGATGTATCTCTTAGTGACCTGTTTTCATTTTTAAAAGAACAGTTTTAAACTTTTGCATTTTAAATAGTTTTGCAAAATAGAGGAAAAGGAATTATTTGATTGCATTCTGGTGCAGTCCCAAATCCACTTAAAACTTTGGCTCTTTTGTATTGCCAGTCTCTCATACACCAGCCGACTCGTGAAAACTTTGTTGTATAACTTCATCCGTCAAGAGCGAAGCCCTCCTCCAAGTTCCCATGTCTTCCAGCCTGAGTCCGAAGGAGGTGGACTACTGTATGGAATTGCATCAGGAGTAGCAAGTGAGTTTTATTGGTGCCATTGCTTGCCTGTATCTGTGTCCAGCAGACATTCAGTGCTTTCATTTGTCTCTATATATTGGACATGTCAGATATCTGAATCAGCTATAAATCTCCCCTCCCCACTTATCTCTCTCTATAAAATCGAAATACCACTCACGCATCATCACAAAATCTCCAGAACTGTAAAGCCTACAAACTTGAAATTTGGCATGTATGTTCCTCTTGGATCCTAGGTGCTTACTAAGGAAGGATTTTTCAAAATGACCATCAGAGCTATTAGTATTTCCTATATTATTATGCTAAGGAGTTCTACTCCACTCCTGAAAAGAAATCTGTTCCAAATGCAAAACACAAGCAGACGAGAGGAGTTTCAGTTTTACTTTCACAGCAGCAACCAGCTTTACTACAGAACAGTTGAGCTAAACCATGCCCAAGCTCCTTGCTATCTCCTTGCTCACCCAGCAAATACTGTTTCAGTTTCCAAACTGCTTTCAAATCTCTCACACACTGACAGGACACTAGCCAGATGAGTACCGATGGATGCTGGTAGGCAGAGGCAGAATTTCCCCTCACCCCCTTATTTTTCTCCCCAAAAACTAAACCCGATCACATAGTTTCATATGAAGCCCGGGTATCGAGCTAGTAAGAAACAAAAGGAGCATCCCTTTATGGTTACCTGAGATCAAAAATCCCTATTTAATTTCAGTCCTTTCTGCCTTGCATTCAAAGAGCAGAGTTAACAGGTGTGATAGATTTGTACATGTATTTATATCTCACCTTAATTTTATGAATAACTCAAGCCAGTGAACATAACTAATGCAGAAAGTTCTTGACTTATAACCGTTCATTTCGTGACTGTTTGAAATTACAACGTCACTGAACAAAGTGACTTACGACCATTTTTCTCACAGCCGTTGCAGCATCCTTGTGGTCACGTGATCAAAATTTGGGTGCTTGGCAAATGATTCCAGATTCCCTTAACAACCGTGTTACTAACTTAAGAACTGCTGCGGTTCATTTAACAACTGTGGCAAGAAAGGTCGTAAAAGGGGGCAAAATTCACTTAGCAACTGTCTCTCTCTTTGTAATAGAAATGTTGAGCTTACTAGTGATCGTAAGTCGAGGATTACGTGCACTCCTTCCTCCTCCTATTATCTCTACAACAACCGCCCTTTGAGATGAGTTAGACTGAGTGAGAGAGACTAGCCTAAGGTGAGCCAGCTGGCTATCATGCCTAATGCAGGACTAGAACTCCCAAGTCTCCTAGTGATTGGCCCAACGTCACCAAACTGCCTTTCATGACTAAGGCGGGACTAGAACCATAGTCCTCTGGTGATTGG